ATATCAATTTTTTTCAGGTTTATGTATAAATATAAAACTGAATGTTAATTTGTTTTTGAATAGGTTGACAATAAATTTGAGTATCTTGTGACTTTAATAAAGGCAAACCACACTGAGTTGATGAATTCCAGGCATAGGAAGGACGACCAGCAACCAAAGGTATTGTGTTGTATATGTGTTTTGTTCGTGTGTTTTAACTTTCAGAGGTCATTATGTTCTAAATTTAATTGATGAAGGATTTGGCCGGCAAATCTACACCATGCATGGTTGAAGTTTCCGGTAAAGAAGGCAATGATGGACATCAAACAAGTACCTTTAAGTTTGATCAACAACCAACCTCACCAATACAAATGGACTTTTCCAACAATGACCAAAACATTGGTGTATCTAATTTTGTTGTTGAAGATCAGGTTTATTTTACTATATTCATTGCGTATATCCAAATAAACAATGTATCAGTAACATATTTTGCTTGAAAAAAAGATTGTTTTAAAAATACAGTATGAAGATACATTGAAGAATCATCAAGAAATGAAGGACGTTTCAGAGCTTTAATCCTCAGATGAAAATATTCATCATACTGCAGAAACAACTGAGCATAAGAAGGTACTATTGTCATCGTAAATTGACTATTACTATACATTTACTTTGTATTGATACATCAAACTGAGCTATTATGATACATTACAGTTTAATTTGTGTGTATATGATAGATATATTTATTATTACATCAGATGTGTTTTTCAATTTTGTGAGTATGATGATTTACATTTTTAATTCTGAATGTATATGATACATTCCTTTGCAAGATACATACATGTGTGACTAATTAAAATTGTTTGTATATGGTACACTTATACATCAGGTGTTTTGATACATTTAAGATTGTATGTAAATCGTAGTTTAATGTAATCTGTACTTCATACATTAACAATAGTTTGTATATGATACTTTGTTGTTTAATGTATCATCACTTGTACAATATGATGTTATTCAGGATGATGCATCAGGACAAATGCCTCAACATTTCTTTGAAGGAACAATGAACGAAGATGCTTCAGATAAAGTTCAACATAACACTAATCAATCTGTGCCAGATCCTGTTACATTTGATGCATTAGTAATTTACGTTTCATGTATCATTTATATATCATCTAGTTTATCAAACCTTATTTAATTATCAATTTAAATCATATATGATTCTACGACATCTGGTACAATATCATCTAAAACTCGAGAAGCCATGTATACACTTATTGCTGATCTAGGAAGATTGCCTATTCCTGCCAAACCAGTTAGTGCGGTAAATCCACAGGAGTTAACTGTCAGCCAAAGTTTTCTTTCGAACATTCAATTACCCATTGATATTCCAATCACAACGATTGTTGTCCGAAGCGATACAAATACTCCTCTCGCACGCACGTAACAGGATGCCTTCACAAATCTTAAAATCTCCTTATTTGACTTCATTTGGGTCAAGTGAAAAGGGAAAAGAGATCGTGGAGGATGTGATTCGTCCGCATTTTCCATTTGAAGGTTGTGAGATTACAAATAGAGCCCCGTACTTTCTGATTGATGAGTATATTCAGTGGGTTACTAGAGGTCTTCTCAAAAGTCATGCCAATAAGTAAGTTTTGTAATTTTTTTCCTACATTTGTTCAATTTTGCAATAACAACTCTTGTTCCATTTTGAAATAACAACTCTTGATTACTATTAATAATACAGGAAACCATCAGATGATAAGTACAGAGCAAGATCCTCTTCATTGGGTTTTGAAATGATGGATTATGTTATTGCATTTCCGATCAATAAAAACTGGTTCTATGCCATGTCCCAGCCCAAAAATTGCTGGACTGATCAGGTAAAGTTTCCATGTTTATGTAAATTTAATATATCTAATACATTGAATGGAATGTATCATATATAGTTATTTTAATTTATATGATACATTTATTTTATATGTGTCAGATACATATCAATATCATATACCACTCTCAGTCTCTAACATTTTATTTTCATCATTATTCTTTTCAAATGTATAATTATGTGTATAATATTTTGTGTAGCTCATCGATGTTGTTTTTTACTACCTTCGTAAAAAATAAAATGTCGCAGCATGAATCAATATAGATACACAATAGTCAATTGTTTGTTCAGTACACATATCAACAATACCCATGAAAGGTACTATAACAATGAGGCTGATGATAATATTAGTACCCAAGAAGACATTGATCGTGCATCGGCTGTATCTGTACATGAGAGGTCAATAACCAACATTATGAAAAGATTTTCAATACCTGCTGGATTACTATGGGATCTTGTGGACGATGTTTACATTCCGGTTAACCGTGATGAAAGTTCCATTGGGTGTTACCTGTTGTTGAATTGAATCAGAGGTTGATACGCGTGTATGACTCTTCTATAGGCACAAGGAGAAAAGTACATTATGAGGAGATAAAAAAATTATCAAGGATGCTACCTTCTTACGTCCTTGACAGTGGTTTCTTTGAAAAAACTCAGCGAACAAACTGGCCATATCTTGATGCATATAAGGATAAACAAACTGGTGCACTTTTAGAGCCACATCATCCTTTCAATGTTGAATACGCTCAAGGCATCATGCAACAAGAATGTGATAGCCTGTAAGTATTTAAATTCTTCACTATAATCATATGTGTAAGTTTTTATTACAAATTTATATTCTGCATTTTGTTGTAGGGACTGCGGGTTAAATGTAGCTACATTTGCAGAGTTTATGAGTGACCAACTTGTTATACCACCTGATAGTGATGCCTATCTTTCAAGTTATCTACGTAATAGATACACATCATTGTTATGGAGATACGGCAGCGACAAGGCCAAGGGTGGATACATAAGTGAGATTGACGATCCACCAAAGCCTAAGGGTCAATTGACAAAACCAACTGAAGAAGATTTTGTTAACATAGTTTAGTACTTAACCATGTTTGCATGAACAGTGTTTTATGTTGTTTTGTTTTTAAGACAAATTCACTTACGTTTTAGAGTGTTTCTCTAAAAACTTAGTCGTATTAACAGTCTTTTGTTATTTATATAAAAATTGTGTTTTCAATATATTGCTTTAGATACATTATACGTTATTGCTTTATAACGTTAAGCTTCACACTCATAACTGTTTGAGTTAAAGTAATTTGATAGTGTTGATACGAAATGATGTATCTGATACATAAGTTTGTAGGTATATGGTACATGAATTTTGTTCACACACACCATTTACATATACCTGATGGCACATGAATTATATAAATGTATATGATACATCATATAAATCAATAAACAAATCACAATAAACTATTAAACTGTAGTTTTAATAAATATGATACACCATACTGTAGTGTATATGATACATATATTATATATTTGAAAATGTCAAATTTGGGACATTTATTCTCAGTTTAAATCATGAATCTGTTAGTGAATCAATATTTCATGCACTTACACATTAATTATTTTTCAAAGTTTATACATTCAGATTTATTTATTTATTCAACAGTATAAGAATAAATTTATATTCAACGTAAGATTGGCACAAAATTCTCAATAATTAAAATACATAAAAAAACCCTGAACTTGGCACGAAATCTTACTTTAGTACTTCAACTACACGGGTGTTTATATACCCCCCTAATCTCATTTAAAGTGAATAAATACCCCCCTAAGAATTGCACAAAATTGCACTTACATATATTTTTCACTTTAGTATTTGGATTAAATAAAGTGTATTGTTTACACAATTTATTTTGTTGTTCAATTAAAAAAGGGAAAATACATAAAAAAAAAAACCCTGAACTTGGCACGGAAACTTACTTTAGTACTTCAACTACACAGGTGTTTATATACCCCCCTAATCTCAGTTTTAAAATTTTGTTTTTTTCCTTCCCTTCTTCTTCTCTCTCCCATGTCAGAAATCAATTTTT